TTTGTATATAAAGCACACCATATTTTTCGAAACAATAGCAAAAAAACTAATAAATTTGGACCTATTTGTAAATTTTAGAAATTTTAGATTCAATGAAAAAATTATACAAATGTTTACCAACTAAAATGTAATTTCCCATCATTATGTTTATGAATTATATAAAAAGAATTTTAATTGTAGGCAATAGATCTTAATATCTATTAAGTTTAGGTATGAAACTGTAATATGCATATGAAACCCAAATCCATATGACAAAGGGGAGAAGAAAGATTTTATAACTTATAAATAGTAGTTACTATAATACCCTTATAATTAGTATTAGTAGGATGCTAATAGTAAGGGGTGTTATAACCCTAGCTGATCCTTTTCCTATACTATACACCAATGTTGATCGTTCAACCTCGTTGAAAACTAAAAGTAACCTGTTCTATTGAATAGGATAAAGTGGTTGGCAGCATGATAACCTACCTTTACATCCTTCATTTTCCTTTTACTCTTTTGTTATTTAAATAACAGTCAAGATGGCTCTATGGTAATTTTTTTAATAAAAAACTTACCTTAATTATATGATTACCCTTTTACCTGTGTGACTTGAATTTTAGCTCCATTTCTTTCTCCGAACCTTCAAATTTTCTTCTCCCCCTCGTCCTCCTCGTCCTTTCACTTTGCCTTTTCCTCCATCGTATCGTTAGCATCCCTCCCCCTCCTATCGTAGGCAACCACTTAATCCTGTCGACTACCTATTGGCCCGTGCGCTCTAGTACTCCCACTTTCTGTAACAAAAAATCATCTTGACATGTTTGTAAATCACAGTAGTTAGAATCCGGAGAAGTGGAACATCCGGACGCATTTGGCCAGCCTGGCGAAGCTGAAGACACAAGTGAAGGTACTGAGGTGAGGAGTGTGGTAAGTGTAACGACCAAGTTGAAGTCCAGCTGTGAAGCTTGAGGCTTAGAGGAAGAGGAGTCCACTATTGGAGCTTTCCTCTTCTCTTCCTCCCCATCGTTTGCCATAGATGTCCTCCTCCCCATTTTTTGACTCCGCCTCTGCTATGACGCCATTTGGCCAGTGAAGAGATTTTCCTTTCCTCTTCAAAATGATATTAGTTTTTCTAGACAATGTTAATGGTATAATCCAAGTACCACATCGAACATATAAGGGAGTGGAGCATTTTATATTAGTATCCATTTAGCTCAATTAGTACGAGGCGTTTTGAGGAGAATACCCAAAAGTAAATCTGTGCGGGCTTGGCCTATAGCGCATAATCTTGTATGGAGATGTCTAGTTTCAACAAGTGGCATCATAGTCGGGTTTTAGATTTTGGATGCGGAATGGTCGACGTCAGTTTGGTAGACCCTCATATGGTGACCTCCAAATTTGAGATCCGCATTTGTTTAGTGAATCGAAGGAGATCTACAATTTTATAGCGGATCAAAGAAGATTTGTGTTTGTTTTGTGGATCAAAGGAGATCTACATTTTTCTAGCAGATCTACATTTTATATTAGTATCCATCTATCAGGCATATCAATGAAGATATGTGTCTAGAAAATTCTCGTGTCAAAGAGCATATTGACCAGGATTTTGGCAGATCAAGACAATCTCCAACACGAAGTTCGTAGTCCTTGTCTTCACGAGAGGAATGTTATGATACAATCTAAGTACCACTTCAAACATAAAATGGAAGAGGCCCTTGTATATTAGTGTTTGCTTAGCTCAATTAGTATGAGACCTTGATAACACTCAAAATAGTGTTATTCAAAACCCATAAAGGCTTCGTTTGAGTCATTTTTTGTTCTTCATGGTCACCATCGCCAAATATCCCCCACATTCGTTTCTTTGAGAAAATGTTAGTATATTAGGGTGTATTGGATGGTATAAATGTTTTTAGGACAAAAATGTGCACAAGTGTAGAGAAATGGTAGAAATCTAGATATTACGACGAGCGGATGAAAGATCGCGGTTAGAAACATAGGGCGTGAAGCTGAGGACCGAGATCACAGCCTACAGGTCAAAGAGCACGGCCGCAAAGATAGAGGTCGCAGTCCCGAATTTTTGAAGCAACCAATAAGGAAGGAGCAGAAAGTCTTGATAGTCGACTCACGGACTTCTTCAAATGAACTAGGCCGCACACTTCCCAACTTTAAAGCTCCGAACGACATGCTCAAGATCGTGACCTTTGCTCCCAAGATCACGCCAACAAACTCTTCCCCCTGGACTGTGAACTTGCTCGAATCCTGCAAATTTATAAATAGAGGGTTCCTCCCCTACTTGGAGAGAAAATATTGGTGGAAGATTTCTAGTTTGAAGAGAGAGAACATTGAGAGAAAAGATGAAGGAAGGAGAAGAAGAAGAGAATGAGGAGGAGAAAAAGAAAGGAGCTCCCCCTCATCAAGGATTCTTTTATTTTCTTCCATGTATCTTCTTTCCCCTTTATGGGGTAGTTCTCTAAGGTACCCATTACCTAGATTTTGGTAATGAATGTAGATGTAATTATGTTAGGTTTTGTGAATGGATATGTTTGTTTTTGTAAATGTATGCTTCATTTGTGCTTAATTATGTTTGGGTAAGTCGCCCAACTCTTCCCTACTAGCCTACAACTGAGTTAACACTAGGTGGGAGTTTAGGGTTAGACTAGATAGCGCCAACTAGCTGATTAAGGATAGATAAATGATCTTACGATTCCTTCGTGGACGTGGCGACTAAACCCTGCTATAGGAATGTCTTTCTAAGACAATGCTAGAGAATTCGCACGCGTTCTGATCGAAGCACATATCTAGTATGCATGATAGGTTGAACCATGGAAGCAACCCTAGCAAGTAAACTAAGACTAAGATGACATTGGTTCTTCGTGGGCCGTATTAGGAGGGAGAGTAGTTTTCGAAATTACCAGATTAGAGAATCCACATACTATCATACAAACCAGACGTAGTGAGCCATTTGCATTATGAACCTAGTTTAGGGTATGGGTGGCACACCGAAGTACCTTTCTTTTATCTTAGCTTTTTCCACCAGTATATTCCAATTAACCTCCAACCCAAAACCTAAAATTGTTAACTAGATAACAATAAAATGTAAAGTAACCTAGAGTATCGAAACCCATGGAATATGAACTTGGTAACCACTGTACTAATAATGCACTCTGCGTTATACTTGGCCCAGAATAGGGTAGTTAGGAAAGCTATGCAATCGATTGAAGAACCCACAAGGGGGTAGTAGAAAGCCCGTCACCAAGTTTTTGGCGTCGTTGTCAGGAAACCACGGTAACTAGATGAAAATCATAGAGTTGTTACTTTAGTCTTATTTTCTGACTCTCTCTATATATATGGGTCAGACTGGTGTACTCCTAAAGTATATTATACTCCAGGTGCTCCTAGTGAAATATCTCTATAAAGATCATGAATTAAATCGAGTTTTGGGTATGATATTATACCCTAACCTCTAATGGATAAACCATATATATAGTGGCTACTTCGATGCACTCACTTTTTTGGGTGCATTCAGTGACCTCAACTCTAAAAGTGGTAATAATACATCAAATTTTGAATTTTAAAGGGTAGCATAGTCTAATATGATGATATAATATAGAATCACAACTAACCAATCCATTATTATAATCCCTTAACCTTCAATTTTGAATTCCAACCCTAAATATAAACCCGAACCCTAAATTCCTAAACCCTAAATCATTCAAATTAAAGTAAATCTTGAAAGATTTTTGGACAAATTCATGTGTTTATTGTTCATCAAACCACAAATAATGATTGATATCACTTTCACTTGAATCGCCCTCTCGAAATGACGATAATGAGGTGAGTGCATTGAATGCACCAAAAAAAAAATATATACATACATACATACATATGGTAAAGGCTAGCGTATGCTTAACTTAGTGTACGTCCGTTGAGTTTTGTTATTTAGACCATGAATTAACCGAAGTTTGAAGCATGAGACAATACCCTAACCTCTAAAGGGTGAACCCCAGTCATCAATTCTCTAACCCAAACCATAAGATTCATTTAATCTTAAAATGAAAATCAATATTATCTAAGTATGCTTATCTTACCGTACGCCCATCGCGTTTTTCTATATAGATCATGAATTACACGCAGTTTGGGGCATTATAATACCGTAACCTCTAATGAGTGAATCCAGTCCCCAATTTGATAACTCAAACCATGAGGTTCGTTTAATCTTGAAATGAAAACCACCAGTTCTGACTCGTCATTATTATCAAAGTACAAATAATAGGTGTGGACGCAGGTGTACGCTAGGCTATGCCATATATATATATATATTTATTTATATTTATGGAAACGACTCGTATGCTCCAGACGCATACCATGCTCCAGGTCCTCAGGTCGTTCATCTAATCTAACGGCTAGTATTAATTATATTAAAATTATATATTTAATAAAAATTATGATTACAAACTACACCCTTTGACACGCTAAAACACAACACCTAACAATGGCCAAGTGTAACCAATGAAAGGGACTGCAGTATAGTGGCACAAGTAATAAATATCGAATCCACGGGTCTCTAGAGTTACTATTACTCAGCTTCAGTTCATTATCTAGCAAACTAGATTAAGGATTGATTTACTAAACTACTCTACTAACTACTCTACTAATTACAAGTTGGGAACTCACTTAGGTATGATTCCCCCTAGCTCCTCAATTAGGTCCAAGTTGCAATTACCTTTGGTTGATCTACTGTTGATTAAACTGCGGAAGATCCTAAATTAGCTTGGAATCTCTTAAGCTGACCAAGCCCTCTCAGACAGAATACCCGGCAGGCGACTAGCCTTCACCGGGATAGACTGCTAAGGCGATTCACACAGATCTCCACTACTGGAATGAATTCCAGTACAAAGCAGTGAATTGATTGACTCTCGCACAACCAATTCACTACTATCAATCAAGGAGGCTCTCTTAACCTAATCAGATTCTATCTATCATAGGTTAAAGCAGAAATCAAGAGAATTTGATCAAGATCCAATTGACTCAATAAATCATGCCTCAATCGATTATAATCAAACAATATAGCATCCAAAACTTCATACAAGAAAGATCCTAACTCATGGAACTAGGGTTCCTCAAAACCTAAGTGAAGGGAAGTTACTCCATAGAGAAGAGAGAGACTGCAGAAATCTTATCTAGATCTTCAATCTCCATCTCCAAGCTTGATTCCCGAGCTCCAATGGCGAAGAAATCCTCCAAAATAGCTCCAAGAATGTCTCCAAGTCGCTCTCTCTCTCTAGGGTTCGTCCCTTGGGTGTTTGGGATCCAAAACCCAGCTCTCCCCCTTTGTTTTTGCTGAAATCTGCTTAAAAACCAGAATTTCCCGACTCGCACGGCCAGGGTGCACGGCCGTGCACATCACCATTCTGGCCGTGCACCTCAAAACGCGGTGTATCAATAAGTCGAACCTCAACCAACTCGCACGGCCAGGATTGCACCTTGCACGGCCGTGCGTGGCCACTTGTGCCCGTGCGTGCCCACGCACAATCCCGCACGGCCAGAATTACATGTTGCACGGCCGTGCGTGGCCACGCACAATCCCGTGCGTGCCCACGCACAATCCCGCACGGCCAAACTGGTCACTTGCACGGCCGTGCGGGTTGTGGGTGTGCCCGTGCGACTTCCTCAGAACCTCGCCATGCGTCCGATCCTCGTCCAATCGACCTCAGACTCGCTCCTAAGCCTTCATTCACGTACTAGGACATGAAATATCACAAACAAGCACAACCTAGCGTGAAATCGGCCTAGAACACGAGAATCAACACCTCAAACGGTGTAAGAATGGGGGTAAAAACATGTGTAAATAACGAGTCATCAAATTCCCCCACACTTAACTGTTTGCTTGTCCCCAAACAAACCTAACTCAAACCAATGCAGCTCTCTAGACCTCTATAGCAACAAACAACCTCGATTGTCGGTAGAGGATTGCCTAGATCATATAGCAGCTTACGAGGTCAACTGGTCTTCTAAGACGTTCCCTATCTCTCTCAATGCGAGTACTAGACTCAAGCCAGGATCATGAGAAAAAGTAGAAGTAAGACAATCAGTTCATGGATAAAGGGACTCACACCATTCACAACCAAGGACTCGTTGTACCGGGATGCTCTTTCACTTCATTTCACCGTTGGAACCCCTTTTTCTCACTTTCATTTACATGTTTCCCTTTTTTTTTTCTTTCACTTAGCAGGGGTTCCAACTGCAGTCTTTTGCACGGTCGACCCTTATTAGTCAAGCAAGAGCAATTTTTGTACACCTGGCGCTCGCCAGAGTACTTCTTTTAACTCCTTTTCCTCAACTCGTGTGGAGGGTCAATGAAATTAAGGGGGGTCGGAAGCTCTATCCGTGCCCTTAAAAACACATCCTCAAGTAGGCAAACCATTCAACGGGTGAAAATTTTACTTATACTAGAGACAGCTTAGCTTCACCTTGTAGGAGTACCCCACTAAGGATTACTAAAATCTCTTCCAAAACCCGATTTTGTGCAATGAACGGTGCCACACACGTTGGGCTTACCCCATATTTAAGATTTCAATGATTTCGACATGGAGGACCAACTGCTTTTCATTTGCCACATGAGCACCCTGTTCGATACACGAGTCCATAACACAATCCAAATAGAGTCACCATTACCACATGAATTCAACGGTCTTAGCTCCACTAATTCACAAAATCAACTGACACAGCAGAGAGCTAGATAGGAAAAATCTTATACTTCAACATCCTCCATAGTGCTACACTACCTCCCTAGGTTGCACATTACTATAGAGACTGTCAATTCAAAGCATACTGAGCAGGCAATTTGCAAGGAAACACGTACTTGGAGCCCTCAAATTTAAAAATTTGGACAGTGGACTAGGCTCCAAGCGCACAAACAGCCAAACATTCACCCGCATACATAATCGAACACCCCCCCCACACTTAAGCACGACATTGTCCTCGATGGAGGAAAGATAAGGAGGGTAGAACGAAGTTACCAGATCAAGGGTGAATGATGATGTACGGGTCAGGCGGTGCATTCCAGGAAGAGAGAGTAATCAGAACACAAACACCACACAAAATCTCACAAAGGTTGAGTTATTGACTCTAAAATCAAATAACAAAACTGACTCAACCGAGGATAAATAGAGAAAGAAATGCAAACCGACTGGTTGGGTTGCCTCCCAACAAGCGCTTCTTTCACGTCGTGAGCCGGACGATGGCTCCTAAGTTTCGGTCCATGCTAGAACCTCCTTGAAGTTGAGGTTCTCGTCAATGAGGTGGAGTCGCAAGTCACGAGCATGTGGTATGACTGGTGATGGAAGCTCGTGCACTTGACGCAGATGAAGTCTCCACCCTCGAGACCTCTTCTTCTCTTCTCTCGTCTCATTGCCCCAAACCAGATAAGACAGCATCGATTGGCCACCATCGCGTCCACCAAGAGGGACCGATGTCGATGTGGCCTTGGTCTGGCAAAGAGACACTGCAAATGGTCCGTTGCCAAGCAGCTCCTCGAAGTTTGGTGGAGATATCACATGTAACTCATGGCCGGTGCAGGCCTCTTCCACCTTAACTCCATCCTCGACCTGGACGCCAATTGCTTTTTCAACCCCCATTCCTTCTTCAAAATGTAGTATCACCCCTGGGAAAAGATCAAGAACTCCTTCTGCTTTACTTTCATCATCCTCCACAATTTCTTTCCTCATCCTTTCTTGCTCTTCTTCTTCTAGCACGGATTGGAGAGCAAGTTGCCAAGCAATTTCTTTCATGAGATCTTCTTGCATCTCCTCACTCATGCCCACCTCTTCAAAGCTCAGTGTGGGATGTGGGAAGGGGTGGTCGGCTACGACAGGACAATCCTGATCATGATCATCACGAGAGCTTTTCGTGAAAACTTCTGTCTGCTCCACAATATCCTTGTAGCCTTCGTCTTCCTCCTCCTCTTCTAGTACGATAGCAGAAGGGTGATCATGAGCAGGTTGTGCATAAGCTTTCTCAAGATCCTCGAGGCTCTTCTTTATGCTCAGGAGGGTCTCCTCTGTTTCACGATAGGAGAACCTAGTTTGGGCATTGTCTGGGATATCCATCTTTGGAAAGGATGTCTCAGGTACTCGAGCAATCTGCTCCACGAGAAGCCTCAAGTGATAGTTTGGATCTGGCTGATGGAGGAATTCTTCTTGATAAGGAGATTGTTCTTGAAATACCCAGGGTTCTGATTGTTCTTCGTAGGATGGGGGTTGGTACTGAAACCCGAATCCATAGTCTTCTTCTCCTTGATTGCTCCAGGGGGTCTTGGGGTAATACCACTCGGATGGTGGTGGATACCCCCAATGGTTGGAGAAGCCATGAGGATCCATGATTCAGATCTGCACCAACAAAAACAAAAACACCCAAGTGAAAAGCAAGGGTGGAAAGAAAAGAAAAGAAAAAACGCTAAAGTAACAAACTTCTGCCTTTCCTAATAATCTAGAAAGTCCCCGGCAACGGCGCCAAAAACTTGACACGCTAAAACACAACACCTAACAATGGCCAAGTGTAACCAATGAAAGGGACTGCAGTATAGTGGCACAAGTAATAAATATCGAATCCACGGGTCTCTAGAGTTACTATTACTCAGCTTCAGTTCATTATCTAGCAAACTAGATTAAGGATTGATTTACTAAACTACTCTACTAACTACTCTACTAATTACAAGTTGGGAACTCACTTAGGTATGATTCCCCCTAGCTCCTCAATTAGGTCCAAGTTGCAATTACCTTTGGTTGATCTACTGTTGATTAAACTGCGGAAGATCCTAAATTAGCTTGGAATCTCTTAAGCTGACCAAGCCCTCTCAGACAGAATACCCGGCAGGCGACTAGCCTTCACCGGGATAGACTGCTAAGGCGATTCACACAGATCTCCACTACTGGAATGAATTCCAGTACAAAGCAGTGAATTGATTGACTCTCGCACAACCAATTCACTACTATCAATCAAGGAGGCTCTCTTAACCTAATCAGATTCTATCTATCATAGGTTAAAGCAGAAATCAAGAGAATTTGATCAAGATCCAATTGACTCAATAAATCATGCCTCAATCGATTATAATCAAACAATATAGCATCCAAAACTTCATACAAGAAAGATCCTAACTCATGGAACTAGGGTTCCTCAAAACCTAAGTGAAGGGAAGTTACTCCATAGAGAAGAGAGAGACTGCAGAAATCTTATCTAGATCTTCAATCTCCATCTCCAAGCTTGATTCCCGAGCTCCAATGGCGAAGAAATCCTCCAAAATAGCTCCAAGAATGTCTCCAAGTCGCTCTCTCTCTCTCTAGGGTTCGTCCCTTGGGTGTTTGGGATCCAAAACCCAGCTCTCCCCCTTTGTTTTTGCTGAAATCTGCTTAAAAACCAGAATTTCCCGACTCGCACGGCCAGGGTGCACGGCCGTGCACATCACCATTCTGGCCGTGCACCTCAAAACGCGGTGTATCAATAAGTCGAACCTCAACCAACTCGCACGGCCAGGATTGCACCTTGCACGGCCGTGCGTGGCCACTTGTGCCCGTGCGTGCCCACGCACAATCCCGCACGGCCAGAATTACATGTTGCACGGCCGTGCGTGGCCACGCACAATCCCGTGCGTGCCCACGCACAATCCCGCACGGCCAAACTGGTCACTTGCACGGCCGTGCGTGGCCACGCACAATCCCGCACGGCCAAACTGGTCACTTGCACGGCCGTGCGGGTTGTGGGTGTGCCCGTGCGACTTCCTCAGAACCTCGCCATGCGTCCGATCCTCGTCCAATCGGCCTCAGACTCGCTCCGAAGCCTTCATTCACGTACTAGGACCTGAAATATCACAAACAAGCACAACCTAGCGTGAAATCGGCCTAAAACACGAGAATCAACACCTCAAACGGTGTAAGAATGGGGGTAAAAACATGTGTAAATAACGAGTCATCACCCTTTTAAATAATTTTATGTGCTATGAAGTCCCCGAACAATAATTACCATCATGTTTTCTCGTGTGATACCTTATTTTATAGAGTTCTATTATTGAAGGCAAAGTTATTTTTAGGTGTAAACAATGCCCCCCACAACTTAATTTATAAGAACCGATTCTTATGAACTAAGTTGTTAGACACAAAATACATCGTCTAAAAATAATTTTTTATTCAACCACAATCCCACCAAAATTGGCGGAAAACTTTGGGAGAATGGCCCTTGCAAACTTGTTTTAGGAGAATGGCCACACTTGTTTTTGTTTAATTAATATATTTTTTTTCTTTCTATTTTCACTTTGTTCAACAACAATGCTGCTTGGAGTTCCGCAAGGATGTTTTGGGCCAAAAACAGTTGCGTTGTTGCTCAGCATAATTGCGCCAAACTTGTTACTCGCTATGTTGTTCAAGCAAACCGGAGGGGAAAAAAACGTCAACACAGAGGTGTTGCGAAGCAGCGTTGCTTGAGCCAAAACAACACTGTTTTATCATTGGTATTTTATATTTATTTTCCTATTTAAATTTGGTTTACTCGTGGAGAACCAAATATATATGTATCATCACTCCATAGCGCTACCACGGTTGTGCACCACCGTTTAGCTAGGTTAACAACATTGTTTGTTATTTTATTAATTTTCTTCGAAACAGTGTCGTTTTGCTCTCTTTTCCTTTGCCGATTAAAACCACGACTTTGTTCATTGCCAAGCAGTCTTGCGGCATAGAGGGGAAAAATGATAGATACATAATTGTTGTGAAATGAGAAACCTTAACCAAACAAAATGTCTGAAAATTGTTACTTCATATTGTTGATAACATATGTGAAGACAAAAAATAATATACTGATACGGTATAATACGATGTGAATAAAATTTTTTATTGGCACACATACTTATACAAAATTAGTGTTGTATATTACACAAAATCTAGGTTTAATGAAATGTTTATAATTGTTAAATCGTGTATTGGTTATAGCCAATAAAGGTCTTTCACGGACTTCATTATCCGCTTGATTAGATATATGGCAATCACATGCTCCGCACGATCAGTTCTCATAGTTATCCCACGTGCAAACGAGTCATATTCAATGGGTTGACTTTTGGTTGACTTCTGTCTATCGTTGTTTCTCAATACTGGAAACCCAACTGTCTCAATCTTTTTTATGCGACATCATATACTTTCTTTTAATCCGACGGTGTTTCTCTGTTACAAACCCTAATTATATATGTCGGTTTAAATTACAAGGTGCAATTACATATTAGATTATGTTGAAGGTAAAGGCTAATTAACCAAACTACATATGTGGTTTCACTTGAAGATTTGTATTTTCGTCACCAACAAGTGAACAAAACCACATGTCGTTGTTTAAAATCAATAAAATAAGTGTAATCGTAAATAATATGCTTGAAAGATTAACAATTTGAGCATGTAAGAGATAGGGATAATATTTATTTTAATTCAAATGAATTTATGCTTTGACATCATGAACATATTAAATTCTTGGGTAATGTTTATTTTTTAGTCAAATCCTTTTTAGATTCTTTTATATTATTCAAACCTATCGAAATACTAAGAATTAATCAAATGTTAACTTTCAGTTAGCAATTTTGTTAGTAATATTGACTTGGCAAATATGATACTGACTTGGAAGAGATACATGAATGTCAACATTCCAAAAATTTGTATTTTAACTGAGAAAAGGGTTACAAAATTATTAAAAATAACGTAAAAATGGCTAATATTTTGATGCATCATGAAATATTTGGATAATTAATAGAATTTTAATAGGTTTGGATAATATAAAAGAATCTAAAAATTTTTGGATAAAAAATACACATTACCCTAAATTCTATTTGTGGTAGCCAGGACTCGCTATTTCTTCTCGTTTTGCTTCACAAACTTCTTGTTCTTGGTTTCTGATTTTGTCGTGATGATTTAAATTGCGTCGGATCAGAAAAATAATTGGCAACCAAATGTCACATGTTTGAGTCCATTTAAATTGCACTGAACCTTGTGAAGCCAAGCACGGGCCTCAACCAGAGCAAACAACTAGAGCCCATATTACTCAAAGGATTTTCCACCACCAATTTTTTTATAGTAAGTGGGGTAGTGGAGTTATTGGGAACCACCGATGTGGTACTTTTCTAGCACCATCTATCTCCTCTTTCTCCACCTCTCTTCTTTTCTTCTTTGACCTGGCTAATGGCTATAGCCTTCATCCAACTTAGGTTGATATTCCTTCTCCATTGGAAAGCCACGTAAGGCTTTGGTCAGAATTCCAACCACAACAGCAAGAAAGTAGGATACCATGAAAACATAGTATTCAGTTGGATTCTTGTTGTTCCAACCAGGGAATGGCTTCCCAATTTCTGTCTCTTCATTCATTCTTAACCCATTTAGGGCTGTTAATGAACCAAGCCGCTTATGAACGGCTCGGCGTCCGACTCGATAAAAACTCGTTTGAAACTCGATTCGTCTTAATCGAGTCGGCTCTCGAACAAGCTCGTTAACTAAACGAGCCGAACCCGAGTCATACCATGTTCGGCTCGAAAGCTCGCGAACAAGCTCATTTAACGTTTTGGCATAAGAAAGAATTAGAATTCATGGATTTTATGCATTGTAATTGAAATAAATATTGTGTTTTTATTTTGGTAGAATTAGATATAGGTTTGAATGTAATTTTGTGCCCATTTTTAGGTCTGTCTTGAGCTACTATGATCATTTGATGAGCTTAACTCGATTTTCGGTTCGTTAAGCTTATTTGACGAGCCGAGCTCGAATCGAGCTCGAGCTTTCATTTTCATAAACGAGCCGAACTCGAGCTTGCATATTAAAGCTCGTGACGAACACGAGCCGAGTAGTAACCTCTCCCTTGTTGGGGGCTCTATGTCCCTCACAAGAACAAACGAAAGCTCCAGTAGTAACCTCTCCCTTGTTGTTCCGGACTTTCTTTGAGCGCCTAACAGAGAATCCCCAAGCCCTTGCATAATCATTGTAGAAATTGTAAGCTTCTTCGAAGTCATTAAATATCTGGCCGATTTTAGGAGGATCTAAAATCACATCTTCCATCCCAGTCGTTTCTCCATTAAGAATGCCATTGTCGGTTTCTCCTGTTTCCTCTAAACTCTCAAGGTCATCTTCGATGGGACTGTTACGAGGATGTTCTTCTTCTTCCATCGATATAATGGCTGCAAACTTCTTTGGTTTAAGGTCTCGGCAGGGTGGGATACTGACTGTAGGTGGTTTGGTAGGGTTGGAGGCGGCAGAACGTGTATGTACGTACAAGAATTATGCCCAACCTGCTGCTGGAAACCTATTTTTACCTCTCTGTTGTTTTGTCTATGTTAAGAATGATTATTTTAGTACTCAAATTTAGGTTAGTTACATTATTATTTTAATATTTTTGGTAGCGTAACCTTCCACTTCAATTAATTATCCAATGCTGCCATGTGTAAATTGATTCATTTATTTTTTATTTATTTGTCTCTCTCCTTACCGATCTTCTTCCTCCCAGAACCTTCCATCTTCATCCTTCTGTGTTCTGTACAGAGGAAAAAATGGGAACACACTCTATTTCCCTTCCTCTGGAATTTCCCCGCCTTTAAACAAAAGTTGCACATGAAAAGATGACACATATGATACATTCTACCTGCTGCTAGAAAAGTTTGCTGCAAAAATCCATCTTACACATCTTTTCTATATGCAACAGGTGGAGGTAAATCTTCTCACATGTGAAACCACAATTCTGAGATCAGATCTCGTATATGACTGGACAAAGTCTGAATCCTGCACTAGACATGGGACAGGTTGTACACACAGATATTCCATTAGATAGACTGAAGTTATAATCTTTAAAGAACACATGACGTCGGAGGTCTTGATGTTTTAACTTCTGTCTTTGTTCGCTTGCAGATTGAAGGAGCTTTTGTTCAGGGAATAGGGTTCTTCATGTTGGAAGAGAACAAGACTAACTCGGACGGTTTAGTCACAGCAGACAGCACCTGGAGATACAAGGTTCCAACCAAAGACACCATCCCCAAACAGTTCAACGTCGAAATCCTCAGCAGTGGACATCACCAGAACCGAGTTCTGTCATCAAAAGGTAAATGATCCTCTTAAAAAATCGGATGAACAAAGCCGTGGTAACAACGAACAGACAGTAATTTCGGCTCCACATAAAACCCCATGTAGAGTTGAAACTTACAGGCTACAGCACATAGTATGCAAATTGTTTGCCTAAAGATCCCGACTTTATTGGCTTTTTCTTCTTGTATGTAGCTTCCGGTGAACCACCCTTGCTGCTAGATAATAAACAAATAGATGTTGAATTCTATTGGTGACAGATAATAAACAAATAGATGATGAATTCGATTAGGAAACCCAATGATTATCTCATTTTCTTCTTCCTGTATTGTATGTATAGAGTGAATAAGTGATGAAGATGGAAGGTTTTGGGGACAAAAGGAATAATGGGAGCAGGTAGAAGATCGGTAAAGGGAGAGGAAAATAAATAAAAAAGAAATTGATTGCATGACACATGGTAGCATTAGATTGTTTCGGAGCATACATATTATACTAACTTTAATTAATGATAAAAGATTTTCCCGTATAGCTTTAATAGAATTTTCTAAGTTGACCTAATAAGGTAGATAAATATTACACTTACCATAAAAAGAAAAACACTCTACATCCCCCTTTATTAAGACGTGTGAAACCCCTTTATGCTTTCAGGAATACCCAGCTCTGTGACGGTAGGATTAGAAGAGCACAGTTCCGTATCGTTCTGTGAAGCTGGAACAGAAGAGGACCATGGGAAAGCCAGGGTAAGTCAATTATATACACAAGGAAGAAGGCCACCATCGTAAAGTCCCTCTTTCTTCTAAATTCCTCTTTTGTTCATTATGATTTCTTTTTTATCTCAGGGACAAGAACAAGATGAAGCACGTTATGGACAGCGGGATAATGACAAGATCAAAGGCGCAGTCGTCCGATATAATGGTTTGTCAGATTACATGTTTTCATATCTCCATCGTTGGCAGCTTATTTTTCGTTAAAAACTAAAGAACGACGGTTGTTTTTGTTACTATGAACATAGGAGCTAGAGAAGGATGTATCTCCGGTAAAGAAAGCTAGAACTTAAGTCGGTGTGATCCCTCCATCGACGTCGGGATCAAATATGATTGTTCTTGATGGTGAATCGAGGGGAGATGGTAATGCTTTAGTCTGGAAAAGTCGTACAAGATTTTCTACCATGCAATTCACCGAAAAGGTACTTTTATCCACCCCACTAATATTTTTCTGCCTTAAAATGGAATCAGTGGTTATATTTTTATCGAACCCACTAATATTCTTTCGTCTTCCATTGCAGGCAGAAACTAAGTTTAGGCTGCCTCACGCTGTCAACTACAGTGAGGAGGAAATCAAACTTGCTCACTACATATTTGCAGCTGACCTTCCGTTAAAAGAGGTCCTAGTCGATACCATGATGAAATCCTATACGCGAAAGGCGCTATGGTCCCTCTGCCCTAACTCCAATGTTGATGCTGATGATAGTTTTAATCCTGGCCTACTGTTACTAATCAGGAGGTTGAAGGGTGTTTTATATCTTGTTGTTTGCACATCATTCGTTAATGAGTAGATGACGATTCGTGGGAAAATTGATAAGGATCAAGGGGTAGTCTGGATCATGTCATTTCTACCAAGAATTTGAGTCTGGTGGTTGTCGTTCTTTCTTTGGTGGTGCCTGTTTATTTGACCTGCCTTTGGTTTGTTGTTTTTTTTTCTCCTGTGTATTTTTGCCCTTTTCCCTTTGTTTCTTTGAGGAGTGCACTGCTGGTGCAGTTTTGCTTCTAGTTTCCTCTCTGATATTGTTTTTGTATCTGTACACTGTTCTTCTATTTAATTCCCTTTGTTTCTTTGAGGAGTGCACTGCTGGTGCAACTTTGCTTCTAGTTTCCTCTCTGATTTTGTTTTTGTATCTGTACACGGTTCTTCTATTTAATTCCATTACTCACCATTATAAAAAAAAAGTTTTAATACGAATTATTGGCAAATTTTTTAGTAAGGCAGCATTGCCACATCTAGGGCCGATCTGGAAGTGTTGGAGTTAATGATGCTTTCATTGATGCTAAGTACATGGTAATAATTGGCTTAGTAACTAGCTAATTACATTTCTTTTCTCGAAACTCAAAATGGAAAGTCTGCTCGGTGATAGCTAAGTTGTTTAATTGTATTGGGTTATTCTTTGAAGTGTTATTTAACATATTTCGTTTGAAAATTGAGGATATACTGGCCTGAATATAGTTGTTCCTGCATTGAAATTGTCACAGCATGCAGAAATATGGGTAAGGTCTCGATAAGCTTCAACAGATAACCATGAACTTCAAGCATGAAACTTTAGAAAAGGCCACTGATTACTTCAGCCTATCGAAGAAGCTAGGCCTCTTCTAATATGCTTTCTTTGCTTCTCATTTTCAATAGAGTTAGTAACAGATTGCACCTTACCTCTCTCCTTACCGTTCAACTCGCATAATACCAATCTCCTAAAATTTGTATACCCTGGTTGGTTGGTGTATTAGGTAATTACAGCAATGACTTGCCACTTGACCCTGGACGAAATTTCGAGGGATGCTGGCCGTGGAAGAAGAGTATGTTTTCTGCCTACTGAACTGCAGGTACATATTGATTTACCTTGTACATTTATTTTAGGTGAAATATACTGTTTGTTCTATGGTATATAATAAACGTTTAATTCTGCTAATTTAATCAAATCATGATTAGGAAATGGTACTTAACTATGGCATGACACCGAAAAAAGCTTTAGAGTGTTACGGTACAAAGTTTCTCACAACAGCTCACACCTGCAGAAAGGTTTTCTTCTCAATACTTTCTTCTGCATTTCACTTTTGGCTTCCTCATTAATTGTTTCTAGCTATTGTATGAAGATATATGTGAATAATTTTTTTTCCAATCAAGCTATTTAACTTTTTCATAAATGGAATGTCAACTATGGTCTACTAATTTTGGTCTTTCTTGTCGTAATGTAGTTGTGTCTGCCAATGAAAGATATGATGCATGGTGATGACATTCATTGGTATTTAGTTGTCATCTTGATGGATGACAAGCAAGTTCATATCTTGGATTCATATCCTTCTAAAGAGCACCAAACACCTCGTAAAGATGCAGTACAAACTATGGTATGGTCAGAATTTGTGCGTGGAATACGATTATATTTGTGAACTGGATTTTTGTTCTCTTCTATTTGTAATAAAGTTACTCCTTATGTAGATTGGATTTCTCGATGCCTTGTTCGAGGATCTTTATTTACAAGTGGAACAAATGTGCGATCCCCTAGTGATGAAGGAGTTCTCTTTGACAATTCCTTCAGTTCCTGAACAACGTCACGAGTAAGAATCATTCCTCATGCATAAATTCGAAAACATACTCACAACTAATCATATGCTTCATCTAAATTTATGTAGGTATGACAGTGGCGTTTGGGTGTGCGTATAGATGATGGGTGCAACTTGGGATGAAGATTATTTTATATGGGTAAGCAACAATTCACTGGCTTGAACTTGTAGTTAAACAACCTAGTGAATTTTCTATTGAGATCCATTGTCTTTGTGAAAAATTTTCAGCCATGTGGAGATATGAGGAGAATGCAACTAGCTTTGTATCTAGTTAAACAACCTGCAAATTACATAAGACATGTGGTCATCAAGGAAGCAAATAGGAATGCACCGAGGTTTGAACTCGAGACTTGTACGTACAAGGAAGAAAATCGAAAGAGGCTGAACAAGAACTAGAGCTATATGGAGATAGTGCTTCCGTGATTTCGTAATTTAAGCGTGCTTTTTTGATTCAAGGACTTGTTCGTTATATGTTTCACTACATTTCATCAGATTAACGGTTGCATTTTTGTTGGGTATTTTGGATGAACAAATTTCAGTTTACATTATCATGGGATTCGGTTCTTTTCGTTCTATGTTGAACTTGGTTGTTTGTTGAACTAGTTAAGTTTATGGTTTGAGAATCTTTGGTCTATATGTTTAGATACACAACATCGACATTTTTGGATGCAACTCTGGAAGTAGTAAGCATTTGAAAAGTTGTAGCTTGATAATGCTAAGAGTAAGGGGTCTAGCCTCCAAAGGCACGCTAGCCATAACAAGAGACAGACGCAAACCAAGAACACATCGAAACATATAATGTTAAAAACAAACCAAATTGGCAACTAAATGTTGCACCATCCAACCACAAAAACAAATGTCGATCTCCACTTCCAGAACATAGGCACCAAATACAGAGTGTCTTAAGAAAACAAAAACGACAACATTATTTTGTGTCCACTTAGTAAGCCACCATCCATCAAGTAGCAGTTGCAGCGCGCTGCCACCTAGTGAAAACAACAACAGCAGCAACGAAAACAACAACAAAGTAATGGATCAGGAACCTCGTCGAAGACAATCTCATTGATTAGATAGTAATCAAAAGGGTCCCTACAAACAAAGCCTCACTTGAACTTGACAAAGATTAGCTACCTTATATATTGACAATGGATAGGACAGATCATAGGAAAACAAATTGAACGAATAATAGTCTTAGAACAAAGCAACAGTAGGTGTAGATTGCAGGCTTTGGCTTACTTATGAAATGGTTACAAGACATGGACAAGCCACCCACATACATGAAATTGAAGTTCTAAACAATCTTTAACACTCGGTCCAAAACACTATGCAATACCCGAAATTGTTCAACAATCCAACTAAGCTTAATCGAAATCATGGCTACTTATAGGATCATCATTCAATCAGGCCGTTTGCTCACAGTTCGGGCAGCTCGAGGTCGTACTTCACGGATAACATGGGGGAGGTCATAAGAGATCTCTTTGGAAGGGGTGTTGAGCTGTAAGTGCACCAGCTCCACATGCTTCCGGTGGGGCTCGATCTCTTTGATCAAGGCGTCACTGATGTCGTGCAGCGCTTGGGCGACTCTGCTCTTGCTGGTTTCGAAGGCAACTACTTGGTCATTGTAGGACTCCGCCAAGTCTTTCAGTTTGTTCGTCTTCCCGCCGGCTGTAGCGTTTTCCTGGATGGAGCTCAGTGTTTCGCTTATCTTCCTGAAGCAGGAGATCATAGAGGCCATGTTGTCCTCGAGAAACTGGCCGTCATCTGCAATCACAACACAAAATCAGGCCTCCAAACACAAGGAAAAGCTGCCGGGCGTAAGAATCCTACCACTCTCCCCCTCCTCCTCTGCCTACAGCTTCGGCATCTCTTCAATCCTTCTCCTCACACTGTCGGTCAATATGGGAAGCCGGTCATCTGAAATCAAAGGCAAAAGGCAAAATCAGGTCCCAAATACAAGGAGATTCGGGGTTGGGGTTTAGTAGGGACTCTTACCGGTCTTCTCGAGATGGAATTCGAGGGAGGGCATCGGTAGTTCTACCTCCAGCTCCGGCGGCATCTCTCGATCATTTCCCTTATATAGTCGGTCAATACGCGCGCCCCACAATAGATCTCGCTTTTGTTGTCTTCGAAGGATGATATCTTACCATTGATTTGAATCGTCGCAATCTGGATAAGCATGCTCCACGTCAACCCCTCGTGATTCTCGCCTTCCAGATTCTCGCTAGGGTAAGTAGAAAGCATCTTCAACAAGTCGGAAATCCTCTGCCTTACCTCCATCAGATTTCCTGGGCATGTGAGGAGAAGATCGATCCCCATTGTAGCGACGGATTGGCGGGAGGAATAAGGGTTGTGGTGGGAGGGAGGAACGGGAGAAGATGGATTAGTGATGTAGATAGAGCACATGAAAACGGGAGAGAGGAGAGGGTTTGAGAATCTCGATGAAGGGAAAATGTGAACGGGGATGTTTAAGTTAAAGCATCCAATTTGGGATGTTTAAATTATCAATAGAAGAAAATAGGTATCGGAATATGAAAGTAAATGAATAATTAGTTGGGGGACTAAAGAGGACGAATGAAAATGTAAGGGAACCGATCAATTATCTTTAATTTGTAATTTGTAAATAATTTTATCATAATTTATAATGACCGTCAGATTAGATCAACGGTGTGTAAAACCTGGCGCATACTATGTGTCTGGAGTACACGAGTCTGAACCATATATATATATATATATATATATATATATATATATATATATATATATATATATGGTGCCTTCTACAGTACCCCGGGTGAAATCCGGGGTACCGCATACCTTGAGTATGAAAACGCTATCTAGACCTCGAATTAGCAGGATTTTTGGGCATGATACTATACCCTAACCCTTAATGAGTGAACCCTGGGTCCTAATTATCTTAATCATTACCTATAAACCCTAAGATGTTGCATTACTTTTTTTGCCTATATTTGGATGAATCATAACCGTTGATTATTGTTTCTAATTAAATTGATCTTGGGGTATAAGATTTAGAGAATTAAGACCTAGATTTTGATCTTTATGGGTTAGAGTATAGTATAATGTCCGAAAGATCAGTCAATTCAAGTTCTAGATAGTGTTTTCTTACTTAAGGTATGCGGTACCCCGGATTTCACCAGGGGTACCGTAGAACTCCCCATATATATATATATATATATATTTGAAATACTTGTGCTCCATGACCTTGTACTTCTTTCAACTTTATGTTCTTCATCGTTCTATACAAACTAGGAAGACAAAGACCTACACATGTGCACCAACATCAACCCAACCAAACACCCTATGGTATCAATTCATGAACCTACCTTCCAATCCCCACATCGAGGACAATGTGTCTCTCAAGTTGTGAGTGTGTGTGTGTGGGGGGGGGGGGGGGGGGGGATTGTATGCGTGATTGAATGATTCGTGAATGATTCTTGCCATAGTAGGTATAGAAGCCTCCCTTAGTCATGAATGTAAGACGTTAATGATCGTATGTGGGAATGGTTGCTATCGATTTATTGTGTGTGAATGGCTTATATTTGGTGTTTGGAACCTAGATGATTGACCCATAAAATTTCAATTAAGGGTTCCAAACACTTTGTCCCTAACATCTATCCTCTCAATGTGCTTTGAATTGCTAGATAGTCGCTATGACGTGCTTTATAGGGAGTAGTTTGTATTTCTCAGGATTGTCGGTGTGAGGGATTTTTACTCTTATCTTCCTCTTTTGTGAACCGATAGTGTATGCTACGTAGGTAAAGACATATGTGCGAGACTTTCTACCCTTTTGGACTAAAAAATGTTTGATAATGTGCTCACCTTTGAAAAATCAAATTTTCTTAAAAAAATTGAGATTCTCATATGAGAGGCAACTAAGCATAGTGTTTGAGTTGAGCCGTGAAGGGCTCTTCTCTGTCGTTGGAGTACCAATTTAGGATGTGTCGGGGTTCTGATAGCTTTACCGCATCCCAATCATCTCTTACCACTTTCCACCCCTAGATAACTCTCCTCCTCACGGGTTCGTATGACAAGGTTCAAATGCACCTTTTAGTGAACCATGAGACCTCGACTCTTGGTTGAACCCGACATGTGTGGCGCACCCGTCTATCGTGGAGACGAGGTATGCAGGCTGGGAACTGGTGTTCGGTCAAGTTCGGGAAGTAAATATTTCTTCCGCACTTGGTTACGAGGGGAGATGCCAATTTGCAAGAATGTTTGATGCCAATGCGGAAAAGTTTGAAAAGGGGGAGAATCAAGGTACAATTGACTCCTATCTTAAAAGAAAGAATAAATTGCATCCATAGAGTCCAATGTTTTCGTTCTGTTTAAAAGTCCCCTGGTGCATACTTTGTATGTCTAGACCTACTTAGTTAACATGGTTCTCACAAGGAGTTTGTGTTTACAGAGTAGGATGTGAGTAACGTTCACTGGACTATTTTAACTAGTGCAACGAAGAATTATAGCTCACTCCATAGTGATTGTTTATCAAGTTGTATTAGTTTGAGTAGGATTGCTTGGGGACAAGCAAACCCCTAAGTGTGTGGGAGTTGATAACACTCAAATTGGTGTTATTTAGAACCAAAATTTAGTCTTGTTTCGAGTAATTTTGTGTTCTTTATGGTCAAAATATCTCCAAATATACCTCGTATTCCTTTCTTTGAGAAAATGTTAGTATATTAGGGTGTATTAGATGGTATGAATATTTTTAGATACAAAACTGTGCACAAGTGTAGAGAAAATGTACAAATCCTGAGATAACGAATAGAGCATGAAAAGTCACGGTCGGCAACATAGGGCGCAAAGCTGAGGACCGAGATCGCAACCTAGATGCCAAAGATCATAGCCACGAAGATGGAGGTTCCAGACGCAAAGTTTTGAAGCAACCAACAAGGAAGGAGCATAAAGTATTGATAGTAGATCACGGCTTTCTTCATACGAGCCCACGAGAAAAATTACGACCGCGAGTTAACTGATCACGACCGTAAACTCGAACTGCGAACTTTCCAACTTCAAAGCGCAAAACATAAAGCTCAAGATCACGGCCTTCTACACAGCCCACAGAATTATTCGATCAATTGTAATGGAGCAAGTGGACAAAAAAATGTGTTCCAGCTTTAGAAATTCTCTAGTCGATGTGCACCCAGAATCGGTCCCATGCACTACTCGAGGAAGATATGAAAAAGATTGGGTGCCATTGTTTTCTTCTTGGAATGTTCGTGGCTGGTCCGGTGGCTCAACAAGAGTCATCATTAGAGGAATAAACAAGTTGTATACTTGTATACATGCTTCCAAAAATCGGTCAGAATCGAATTTTTATTCCAGAAAAGGGCTCCGCAACATGACAAATGCTTTACTTTGTTTTCTGCCATAAATAAATGGTTTACCGTATTAATTTACGATGTATGTACTGTTAGTTCTTGCGTAATATTAATGGAACAAAAGGACAAGAATGTCGCTCCAAATAGCTTTTCCATCCCGCCTAGAGAGTGAGTTGCTCATCTTCAGTCTTCTTCACTACCCATTCTGTTCAAGGGTGTTAGGTTTCTGGCTGATTCTATCATTAGCCTGCAATGGCTTCTACCATTAGCCCGTTCACATGTCGATAGAAATGAGATCCGTTCACAACTCCTTCTGGTAACGTACCACTCTTTATAGCACTACCATAAGAGGTTGTCACGGAATCTCATCCCATCTCGACAGGATAAGCTAAAGCATCTGATATCTAGTGGCTGAAATTATAAAACTGCGCAATTCAATGCTGTAAGCCCATACTCTAATGAAATCTGCACTTATCAACATGCTAGCAAGTAGCAAACTGAGATGAACTTAATAGCTAGCTTTGGAAATATGGTTTGCAGTAAATCAACTTTCATAATATTGTATCAAGCTAAGGCACATTTCAATGCTGAAAATATGTAGTTTGACAATAACCAAACTAGCAATAACCACTACAGTCGCTGATCTTATAAGTTGTTCCTTACGTTTTAACAGAAACTTCTATACTCATTAACTGGTGACTAAAAATTCAAATCTACAATGAAATCAAGTGAAACAATCTCCAGGAACAAAACCTTCGAAATCCCAAGAGCAACAAATTCAAGACGCATACCATCGTCATACCTAGACTATATTATTTTTCCTTTCCTCCCCACTAAATTCTACGAATGACCAAATGGGTACCTAACATGGCAGGCTCTCGTTCATTCCTTATTCTTCTTCCACTATTCTTTCCTGGACTTCTACCTGGCGCCAAACAACAACTTGTTCTTACATCTTGGGAGCTGAAGAGCTGCTGGTTGAGGAGTCACTAGCGGTAGGGTTCAATGGGGAGACAGAGCTGCTGCTGCTGCTGCGAAGAGACCCATTCCCGCTTTCGTTATCGGATACAACAGGAATTTTCACAGCAGCCATTTCCATCTCATTCTCGAGTTCATCCTCCCGCCTCAAAGCAGTGAACTGGCCATCCAACGACCTGGCTGCCGCTAACCATGCAAGTACGATACCCAGAAGGGTCACTCCAAGGTAGGGAGTCGAATTGGCAAGTGAACCGAAGGTCAAGATCATGAACTGTTGAATCAGAGCTCCCCCTGATTTCCCAAGGGGGTTGCAGACAACATCAATGGCTGCCTTTCCTTTAACCTGTGTGCATAATAATCAAATACAGATGGTCAGCATATAGCGACTATAAGTAGGGGTGGGTCCCTCTCTAACGATTATCAATCAAGTTACAGATAGATTATGAGAGAGGGGGGAACCATGCATACCTTGGTTTCCTCATCGAGAGGGATGTAAGCCATTTCTTTGCAGGGATCAAACAAGCTATACTTGGCACTCTTGCTGAAGATATTTTGCATGGCACCAACATAGACGGCTGCAAGCAGAGGTGTCATCCCGAATTTGGCAAGTGTTGGTACGAGAGGACCACCAAACAAGATCAGCGAAAAGAACCCAACACCCGTGACAAGGAGCACTGTGGGTGTGATTTTGGCTGCAGCTCCCCATCCGTATTTGTTGAAGATGTATTGACTGACGAGCATCATCGTGAAGGTTGCTATTCCAGTAGCCGTGGAGAAGTCGCCCATGAATGCAGAGTACTCATTCGGGCTAGGGAACTGACAATTATAAGATAGCAAGTAAGGAACTAATCATCCAATAAAGGTACAGAGAGAGAGAATGGATGGCTAAGTAAGACTAATTACCTGAGCCTTGAGCTTAGATTTCCATGTGACCTCAACGAGGTTGATGCTAATGCCGTATGCAACAACTAAAGTCGCAAGGTCTCTGATGTATCTTGAAGAGACGAGGAATTTCAAGCTCTCCATTGTACCCATCTTTGGCTTTGCCTGAAAGAAAGAGGAAATTAATTCAGCTTGAGCTCCAAATGTATGAGTCTGCGAACTAATAATTCAATGCATAGCCAAGACCAAACAGATACACCAGAAGCAAACAAATGAAACAGAGAACCTGCAAAGGAAAGGACGCATAATTCAAACGAGTCTACTTACCTTCTTCTTCTTGCTGACTGTTGGAAGAGTGGCAGTTCTATTTACCCACCAGTAGAGGAAGCAGATAGCACCACCCATTAGTACAACAATGCTCATCATTCCTTTGAGGGAGACAGCCCAACCATCAACTCCAGGACCCAAATTCTTCCGGAGATTAGAGAAATACTTAACTGTTCGTCCCGAGAAAATTAAGGCAATATTTGCACCAAGCCCAAACAGTGGGTAAAATTTCTTTGCTTCATCAATAGTAGTGATCTGACATGAACAAATAAGAACATGGTTAGTTCAAACTTCCACAACCAACAATCAGATGTCAATAAGACTCCAAATATAAGGGCAATGTTTATTTTGTCAAGTTCATATCCCATCTTGCTCTAGTAAGAATATTCAACTAGAAACACGTTACATGTAACTGACAGCGGATGAAATCGGAGTCCTAAACAAGCATATATTTCAACAAGGGAGCCAAAGACTTAAAATTCAATGGACACAAAAACCGTTCATCATGTGCAAATGAATTTACTCCATGAGATAGAATTTCTCAAGCCAAATTCTGCAAAAGGAATCAGTTAAGTATGCTGTTGAGCCCAGCAAGTGAAAACATATTCAGGAAACGAAAGAACTAAAAATTGAAGTCTAGAACTCTAAGATGGTAAAAGGCCCAAATGCATTGAGCAAAGGATCCCCATAATTTACACAAAGATCCTGAGGAAGACTACACAGTAAGAATTGAATACCCTCATTTTTCAAGCAACCATGCAACAACTGAAGGTAGAATTGCAAAAACAACCAGGACAATCAATCAATGATTGATTAAGGGAATCATAACACAGCAATCAGCAAGCGAATCATTAATACAAGTTTACCTGATTAGCAAATCCCCAGAAGAGAACTGAAACCACCACGCTCCCCCACAATTCAGCCATTACATAGAACAAACAAAAGCTCCAAATCCTCATAATAGCAAGTGGACCAAGAAATCTCGGGCCAAGCACGTTGAGAAGCTTATCAGCAAACGCGTGAGGATGAATATAATGACTCAAGGGATACAAGAAGAACCCGAAAGCTCCAAAGAAGGCGATAAATGGCAGGATTACAGTATAGAACAGAGCCTGCTTAGACAGCACATTAGCCAATTTGGAGTACAGAAGCATAAACCCAATCGCCATAGGCAAATTCACCCATGTTTTCAGAAAGGGGATAATCTCTGCACTGCTCCCTTCAGCAGTCACAACCAACACATCCTTCGTATCCCTCAGAATCGTATAATTGAATAAGATACAGAAGAACATCAAACCTAGGGGAACAATCTTCTTCAGAGTCTCAACCTCGACACCTAGAACCTTCTTGCTCTCACCTTCCTTCCGAATCAAAGGCTGCCCGTCGGAAGCAGCGGCGGCTTCCGCCTTGCACATATGCAAAGTTCTGTTCTTTGGGAACAGACCATTGGGGGTTGACACAAAGGTCGGAAATTTTCGAACCCCATTTGAAGATAAGGAAAACCCAGGTGAGGTTTTGGGTTTTGAAGCCGAAATCCTCTGCCTTAAACCCTGGGATGCATATAAAGCTCTGGTTTTTGGGTTAGGCGGCAGTGAGAAAAGCCCTCTGGTTTGAAGCACAGCTTCCATCCCTCTCTACTTCTTCCCCTACCTATCCCCCAACAGAAACCTTATCAATCAGAGGAAGATAGGTCTTTTCCAGAAGGAGAGAGAGGCAGCTGGAGGTAGATAGAGCGATAAGGTGGCGCTAAAAAGAGATTGCTTTCCTGAGAGAAAGAGAAAAAGGGAAGGGATGGTGGTGGATACAAATAAATATCTTCTCCACGGCCTTTTTTTCTATCGGAAACCATCAAAACCCTCGAACGTCTAAATGCAAACGAACCCAGATGGAGACAAAAAACAAAATCGGAAAAGAACCCATTCTCTCCTTATATTTTTTTTTTCACAGAAGAATATTCTTTTTTTTTTTCTTTCTTTTCTTGCTCTTCCTGCTTGAGAAACACTATTGAGCTAGAACTAGGAGGGGAAATGTGAAGATGCTATTAGTATTAGGGATGGCTGAAGGGGTTGAGTAGCAATCAGTTTGGGGAAGCAGATTAATGATCGGCTGAGAAAAAAATGGGGACGAAAAGGGCAAAAGGGAAGGTAGAATGAGCAGGGAGCGGAGCAAATTTAGGTGGGTTGAGTAGTAGATATGGTCAAGGCAGCAAGTGAAGAGAGAAACCATCATGGACTAATTGTTTCATTCTTTTTTATACGTGGAGTGTGCTAGAAACTAAAAACTTACAGTGATTGATTTTTTAACAATTTACATCATACTCGAATTTTTTCTTATTGGAAATTTTCTAACTTATAGAGGCTATGATTTATCACTTGATGCATATATATTTTCTCCTTCTGACTTGACTATTATCCGCTAATTTTTGTATAATAATGCTGTTAGTTTTATACTTTTATTGACACAACTCTCGAAAGACTAAAAAAAAAAAATGCTCAAGATCGCTCTCTTCTCGCTCCTGGAGTTCGGCCGGAGAGTTGGCCGAATCCTTATCACGATGATGATGAAGTTGATCGACGTGAGCCTGCATAATCAAGGAGTGGCAAGCCCCACGAGTAAGAATGCGATGCTGCATTCAGAAGGGTTGATTCATGGCCCAAACTGGAGACCTACAGGAACATGCCAAAGTAAGCGAGTTCCTGGGATGGGTTCCTCCTCAAGAAGATCCAGGATTTGGATCGTGAAAAAGCGGAAACGCAAAAATTTCCTGGAGTTATCCAGTGATGAGACGTGTTTAAGGAAGCGTCAAAAGTATTCTAAGGTGGAGGTTTGGCGATTTTCGCTACCTTCGTCGTCAATCCTGGACGATTATACGGAAGTGGAATCACGAACCCTTCCTGTCCTGTTGGATAAAGTACAGACCCCAGGGGGAGATTATCGTGCAAGCGAGTCCTATCCGAGGCCCTGGGTGGAGGTTGAAGACACTGCTCCCGTCCGAAATAATATGACGGCCAGAGTGATTAAATTTCAAAACTGTCCGACCGTGCTGGATGCTAGGGATGGTACCGAGGGTATCTACCAGTGTAAAGTGGCCAATGAAGTCCGGCTGGTGATGGTATCCGGTGAAGTACGCAGTGGCCGGAGTTTGATGGTGCACAGGTGGTTGCCCGGGATTACTCGCCGGAGGGCGAATCGCCTCGCTGGTAACGGTCAGCGGAAGCCGGGTAGGGCGAATCTGGGAGATTCAGAATCACCGCGCCGTAACTCCTGGCCCAGACTTCTCGGGACCTTATCCCCATCGAATTGTATTTTGAATTGGAGTCCTAATCCAAGTCGACGTCTATGTGAGGTTATCTACCCAAAGACGCTTGACCCTTTTATGACTCTTGGTATCAGATGGTTTTTAGGTGCCTCCCCCTATTTAAATCCGTCCACGACTCCTTTTACTCACACGTTCCATTCAAGTGGTGAGAGCTCGTTGACGGCGGGGAAGTACAGTGACCATTCTTACGAAGACTCCAACTCAGGTCCAGTCCAGTTTTCTTCCAGATCATCTCTTTTGCTTTCAACAGACCTGGCGGTGCAAATCGCTGGGATTGATGAAGCACCCCCATCCCCAATACCCGTAGCTAGCATGGCTGGTAATCGGACGGGGGGGACCCTTGTCTCTGAACTGTTGTTTGAAACTGTTTCCCGACCTTGTTCCTTGCAGGTGAAGCCCATGGCTCGCATCCAGGACGACCAGGTGATTCAGTTCTCCATGGCAGAGGTGAAACCTGCAAGATTCCGTAGCTCGTGCGCTCTGGTGGGAAGGTTGTTCACCAATAGCAACGTGACTGTGGCGGAGCTCAGAGAATCGCTGAACTTCCCATGGCAAGGGAAAGGGAGGATCCGGGTGATGGTGGCAAAACATGGACTGTTTGAGTTCGTTCTGCCTACAGAATCGTCAAGGAACTGGGTGTTGAAGCGATCGCCGTGGGTTATTGCGGACAAAATCCTTCATGTTCGAGCCTGGGTGCCTCAACTGACTAAAGCAATCTTCGATGAACTGGCGATTGTGCCGTTTCGGGTCCAGTTATGGGGAGTGCGGGATGAGTGCTGCACCAAGCAGTTCGGCAGGAAGGTAGCGAATGATGCCATTGGACATGTCCTAGAATCGGGTGTTTTTGCCTGTACGGATACAAATGAATGGTTTGTCAAAGTTCGAGCTTTGATTGACTTTTCGAAGCCTCTGAGGTCGCAGATCATGGCCGCTAGTGAGGAAACTGGGCGCTTTTGGGTGAATCTAAAGTATGAACACCTGCCTTCGTTCTGCTTTAAATGTGGGAGGGTGGGTCATATGATCAGTGACTGTTTCTTCGACCCCCCTACCCGGCAGGAGAGGTTCGGGCCTCACATGTCCACAAAGAAAGCTGGAACCAGAATCTATGATGAGGATGATGATGCCCCTGTTTTCCATGGTGGTCCGAAATCTGTGTGGATTAATAAGGATATCCGCGAGAAGAGGAAGAGGCATGATGTTCAAGGCAAAGCTGGACAGCAGAAGGAAGAAAGGGTGGAGCTGCTGTCCCAGGACCTTTCGGGCGACAATGGGGGAAAGAGGGAGAACCGGGCTCGTAGCCCGCGCGGAATCAATCTGAAGAAATCCCCCCGTGTGTCACTGGGCCGGGAAGCCCGTCGGGCCACTTCCGCCAGGCCGAAAAGTGAGCGGATGGAGATGGACAGCGTTGGTGGGCATTTGGGCCGTGGGGAGAGGCGGAGCTCAGGGCATATGTTGCGGGCCCATGCTGCTCCTGTGATCCCAAAAACGGGAAAAAAGAAGGTGGGCCGACGTGATGGACAGGTGGGCCGAGGTGGTGTGCAAGAATTGGGTCAGCCGATGCGGGCCCAGAAGATGAATCCTGGCGGCCTCTCTCATCCAAATGGGATGGGCTTGGTAGGGAAGAGGCGCCCAAACACTGCGGGCCTAGAAAGACAGGCCCAAACAGAAATGCCGCAGCATGTGGCTGCGTTGGGAGAGGAAGACTCGGGGTCGAGTAGTGTGGAGCCTAGTCTCCGCATGACCCACCGCCGCAAGATGCTGCTCCTGGAGGAATCAGAAGATGACCTCCCATTCCTCAAACCCTCTATGCATATCGATCCTGAGCCACAGAAGGCGGTGGAGTTTACTGGAATGGGAATGGAGGATGGTGGAAAAAAGGAGGGTGCTCCTCCTGCTGGGCGTCGTAAGCTGCGGAAGGCAATGCGGCCAGAGGTGAAGACCAAAGTTCGTGCGAGTGCCCAAAAGATGGGGAAGTCTGGGCGGGGCAAGAAGGAAGAATTGAGGAACGAGGATGAGAGTTTGGTGGATGTGCCTGTTAGCTTGGATACGTCGCTCAAGTGTAACTTGCGCGCTGTTTCGCCATCCCTGATGCACAATGGTGCGGCGGTGGTGTCCTCTGACGAGGAAGTGGAGCAATGTTTTGAAATCAAGCGTCGTAATAAAGGAAAGGATCCTGCTGAGGTCGCCCGAACCAATCATGGTCGAGTGGGAATGGTGGTGGCTGCTTTTGAAGCAGGTATGACCCTTAATCCGATAGGCGATGGGCGATCAGAGACTAGGCTCAATGATAAAGGATTGTTGAAGACCAATGAGTCACCTCCGGCCTCGGAGAAGGAGATGATCTGGAAATTGAATGAGTATGGGTCTAATATTCTGGATCCTGTTACTGGGGGGACGAAGAGAGCTCTGGAAGAGGTGGAAGGGGGCATTGAGGAGCCCCCCAACCCGAAGAAGCAGTTTATTGAGGAGATTCAACATGATGATATGGTGGAGGTAGCCAGCCAAGAGTGGCCCCAAGTGGATAAATGAGGCTTCTTGCCTGGAATGTGAGAGGAATTGGGCCTTCACTCACATTCCAAACTGCTGTAGGTTTAATTCATTCCAATAAACCGGACCTTGTCTTCTTTTCGGAAACAAGATCTAGCCGGAGAGTAGTTACCCGTCGTATGCGGGGGTTAGGTTTTTCTTTGAATTCTTGTTTCTTTGTTGATGCCATCGATACTTCTGGTGGTTTAGTTGTAGCTTGGGCCCCCGGAGTTGAGGCTTCGGTGTTTTATCATTCGGATTTTTCTATTTGCGTTCGGATTAATGAAAACAATTCGTCGTATGTGGTGATTTGTGTTTATCTTAGTTGTCATGAACCCATCCGCGCTAATCAACTGATCGTGCTTCGTGACATTTGTGATGCAATCCATCTTCCTTTTGTGATTATTGGGGATCTCAATGTTACTTTGCACGAAAATGAAAAGGATGGTGGTCATCCCTGGTCCCCTGTTCCATCCATTCCTATGAGAAATTTTATTCACGATTTTGGGCTCCAGGATCCGGGGTTCCAAGGTGACCAGTTTACTTGGACCAATAAACGAATGGGGGCGGCTTGTATTCGAGAACGTTTAGACAGAGCTCTCTGCTCCCAGGCTTGGATTGAGAATTTCCCTGACTCGTTGGTCAAACATTTCACCGATCAGGGATCGGACCATCGAGCTCTTGTCTTCTCTGATAAACCATATGCTAGGCACAGCCGTCCCCTCTTCCGATTTGATGCTCGTTGGGCTCAGAATCCGGAAGTCAAGGCTATGGTGTCATATGTGTGGTCAGAAGAGATACAAGGTACCCCCATGTATCAGCTTTGGGAAAGATTGAAGAAACTCCGGCACTTACTGTATGACTGGAGTAGAGCAGGGACTACGAACTCGCTCAGAAATATTAAGACTCTCCAAGCTGAGATTGATAGGGTGCGGCTTAACCAGCCTATTAACTGGGAGGAGATACGGGAGTTGGAAACAGAGCTTGGCCGCCAATGGGAGGCTGAGGAGGAATATTGGCAACAGAAATCCAGAGTCCATTGGCTTAAGAAAGGGGATAAAAATTCGTCGTACTTTCACACGGTTACCCGTACCCGCCGGAAGCATAATTTTGTCTCTGGGCTTCATAATGATGAGGGTGAGTGGATTACTGAGGAGCGGGGGAAGGCGGATATAGCAACTAATTTCTATCAGAATCTCTTCACCTCCGAGACTTCTGTTCCGAACATGG